ATTAGCTTTCTATTGCTACCTGCTTTATACTCTATTCGTTATTCGCACGTTTATGGCTCTCACTTTCCATGTGGTGATCAATACGTTCTTTTCCTTTTTCCGGTTGCGAAAGCCAGTTGAATTTTTATGAAAGATGAATGGTGATGTGTCATGCGGTTATTTGTATTCGGTACAGACTTCACAAAAAGCTGCTCGCTTGTCACGGTGATACCACAACCACTCATAATTTTGGATCCATACCAGCTGGAAGTACCTTCTTACATTTTCACTGCGTCTTTTCTCCTCTACATTGTATTCAGTTGTAGATTTTATCCATGGACTGGCAGTGAAAGATGCACATGAATCTCTGACTTCTGAATCCTCTAAGAAATCTAATTGGAGAACACCAGTTTCAACTTCAGTGGCAATTTTTGCATCTCTGTAACCGTGACTTCTCCTCTCTTCTGATTAATTTTGAAAAATTTGGTTAGACACCTGTCCTGCCGAATATGAACAGGCCTCATACAGAAAGTATGTTGATGACACGTATTTACTCTTTCGTGGCCGTAATCACATCAAACAATTCTTGGATTATTTAAACTTGAAACAGCTTAACATTAATTGTACTTGTGAAACTGAAAAAAAATGGTAAATTGCCTTTTCTTGAAGTCTAAATTAGCAGATTAGATAATCACTTTGCAACATCTGTTTATGGTAAGCAAACATATTCAGGATTATACACTCGATTTGACAGTTTTATTCCGAACTACTTTAAAGGTAACCTTATACTAAGTCTTCTAAATAGAGCATATGACATCTGTTCTGACTACCTCTCTCTTTATTCCGAAATAATCAACCTACAGAATGTTTAATAAATAACGGCTATCCCTTACATTTTATTCAAGCTCTTACACGAAAGCTCCTTTTTCACAAAATTGAACCCCAGAAAAACCACACACTGTAGACAAATACCCATTAAGACTGATTGTTCCTTTTTTAGGTAAACAAAGTTTTATAGTGAAGTCACAAATTTGAAGAATAATGAAAACTTTTATCCACAAGAAAAACTACATATGATATTTAGATCACCTTTTAAGATTCAAAACCTGTTCAGGTCTAAAGACCTAATGCCTACCCCTATGCGTTCCAGGATCGTGTATAAATACACACGTGATGGCTGTAATGCCACTTACATTGGAAAAACTATATTCCAATTACGCCTGCCAACATACGGGAGTATCATTCCAGTATAAAACTATCACAACTTCCAGACTCCGCAATTCACACACATATTGAACATAGCAGCCACCACATCTTGATTAATAATTTCAAAATCATCTTATCTGGATCATCCAATACTGAACTTTTATTTAAAGAAAGTTTAGCTATTATGAATGAACTCCCTGCTTTAAACAATAACACAGCCTCGCTACAATTAAGCCTGTTTTAATAACTTGTATAATTTTGTCACAGTTGATGCACTTTACTATTCTTTTCGATTTGTTGTTTGCCGTTGTTTTTATTTGACTTCATTCTTTTATTCTGTATTTAGATTAATCTTTACATAATGTTTGAACACTATAAATAGTTGGTATCTAATAATTTACCTTGTTAAATAAAGCTTGCTGAAAATGGTATATGTACATTTCGAAACGTTCGAGAATTAAATGTTTGTTACCGTACACACGTGTAAAATTTTCATTGTTGCTGTCGGTGTACTGTTTATCATTACACTATGTCAGTATCTAAATTTCCTAAGGCCAAGAGTAAGTCTACACCAACCGCATAAAAAAGTAGAAATAATAAAGCAAATCATATTTCTGAAAATGTCATCATGCTGCCCCGTAGCTCCGGCTCCTTTGTATACACATGTTTCCATGCATGAAAGAGTCAGGGAAATGTCAATAAATCATACAAATGAAACACACACACACACACATATATATATATACATCAAAAAATTTAGGCTCGGTCTTCCACATACACTCATGAGCGCAGAAGACAGAGAGCTCTCGTTAATGAAAATGCAATACTAAATACACAAAGTAAGTTGCAATAACTTAAATATATACAGAATATACACTTATCCCAAAGATCATCTGAGACACCAATCCTACTCACCTAAGTTTTGCCTGCAGATTCTCTACATCCTCTATTTTCTTGCTCTTAGACACTTTTGATGCCTTTAGATCATCATGTGTTTTACTGAGGACTTTCTCAGTGTCAATAAGCGTGATATGCAGGCGAAACATTTTATCCTCGTGGCATATCAGAGGGTTACTTTCACCTCAGCCAATCTTCCTCCTTGTTGTACAGGACAAATGTTTCGACCCAGTCAGTGGCCATTTCCTGACATTGCTTTTTCAGCAGTGGAATCAGCTCGAGTGTTAGGTGATGCATCACCTTGGATAGTTTAGCTGAGATTTCTACATTCACTGTTCTCTGGGCTGGGGCTCAACATCTCTTTACGCCTGGATCCTCTCTCACAATGATTGCTTAGGTCCTGCTTAGGTGGCCAGTGATCAACATCCTGATTTTACTGATTAACTAACAGAATTAGTTAGACAATTAATTATACAGAATGGAGAAAATATACTACAATCCATTAAGTATTTCAAATTTAAATTCAAATGACATATTACCACGAACTGTTTGTAGGGAATAAGGACTCCTCAGTAAGGATAACAGAAGGGAACTGTTATAGATGTGGAAACCTGTCCCTTCAGCTGAGACTTTGAGGAATTAAAGGATGAGTCATCGAACTCAACCAGACCAAAGGAACAAAAAAAGAGTTAACCAGATACTGGGAAACATGAATTAGCTGGACTTATGGAGCAAAATTCAGCTGAGAATATACTATCTGCTCCAAATAAGGTAAGTTCATTATTTAAAGGAACGAGTCAATGGGCTTACTTATGGAGCAAAGTTCAGCTGAGAATATACTATCTACTCCAAATAAGGTAAGTTCATCATTTAAAGGAACGAGTCAATGGGCTTACTAATGTGAAGCCTTGCAGTATGATGATAAACGATAGTTCTACAGCTACAGTAATTCGACCTTATTTGGTAATGAAAAGTGATAAATTTGATCCAGAGATGAATAAAGAGGGAGTGATGTAAATAACAAGTAGACATAAAGTTCCAAAAAATGGAATACTATAAATTACTTTTACTTTTGGAAGTTTCTTTATGCCTCAAGATTTGTAAGTAGTTGATATTGAGTGAGAATGCATATTAGGAACTGACTTCATGCAGAGACATTGATGAAAGGTTAAAATAATTTCAAACAGCTTCAGAAAATCCCTGTGAACTACATGACAATCACTATAACAGGGGCCGAACTTTCCGTGACAGCAAAAAAAAGTAGTAATTGTGCCATCAAAAAGTGAATTTCTTATACCATGACTCTTTGAAAAAGAAATTTGCATATAGTGATTGAGTCATAATAGAACCAAACACTTGAGCATGGCCTGATGAACTAATAGTAGGTAGAACTATAGTGGACATGAAGAATAAAAATGTCATTATTATGGCAACGAACACAAGAAACCATAAAATTCAAGTCAGACAAGACAGCCTATACTGCAGGAAATGGATTGTGGCTTTTTGTTGTGTTCTCATTTGGATTATGTATTGCTCCTGCTACATTTCAATAAATAATGGAGTGTGATCTGAATTACCCTGAAACATCATACTGTTACGACAGCAGAAGCCACGTGACGCTAGTAACACGTCATGAACTTCTAGAAGGATCCTGTCCCTTCCTGAATGCTCGAGCGTTTAATAGATTTTGGTATTCTTTTATATATAAGACGGTCAAGACGTGACGGCAACAATGTAATGTGTAATTGAACTGCGGACAGAGAGAGAATATTGTTGAGTCGAGCACGTGAAACGTTCGTTGTGAATTATAGCGTTTGTTATAGCGCGACTGTGGAAATTAAGTGTATTGCAAAGTTGTATTTAGAAAGAGTAAACCAGTTTTATTTAAGAAAGGACTTGTATCGGTAAAGTTTCTTCGGAAATAATTTTTTACGGAAAATTAACTAACGACCGGAGGCGTAACAATACTATCAACTTGGATGACATAATTTCATATGGTAATAACTTTGATAATGCTTGTGAATAGCTAAGAAACATTCTGAACTGGTGTGGAAAGAGAAACTTATGCTGAATTCCAAGAAGAGTGAATTATTCCATCAACAGGCGAGTTTCTAGGGTCACATTGTCAACAAAGAAGGAGTGTCTACAGATCTAATGGAGATTGACTCTGTCCCAAATTGGCCAACAACAATTATAGTACCTCCATGAGGTAAGAAGATTTCTTGGACTGTTCTTATATTATTGTCAGTTTGCAAGATTATTCTCTGACAAAATTCATCCTCTACACCAATTATTTGAAAAGTCAAGTAAGTTTTGTTGAACTGCTAACTGTAAATAAATATTTAACGAACCGATGAAGGAACTGACCACATCTCCTGTACTCCTGTATTAGCATACTTAACTCCGGAAGATCCACTCAATGTGAACACAGATGACGGTAATTTTGCAATGGGAACGGTTTTGTCAAAAAGTACAACATGAAGAAAAACATGCGATTTCCTACAATATCAAGAGAGAGTGAATGTCGCAGAAAGGAAGTATTGCACAACTTGAAAAAAGCTACTAAGTGTTCCTCAAACACTAAGTTCATAACTACCTATTCAGGCAGATGTTTGCACAACGACTGATTGATCGCACTTAAACATTTTCTTAACAAAAAAGCTACCTATATCCCCTTATAGACAAAGCCAGAAAACACAACAAAGCTTTATATCACATGTCTCACATATTTCGTATGCGATTTTTGTGTTCTGTTATTTTCATGAGCTCAATTTTTGATTATATATACATTCTTTATATCGTATACTTTTAATTGCTAAGCCTGATGAAGCGCACAATCTTGAAACAAAACATGTTTTCGCTATAGACGTGTTCTGCGCACGAACTTAATTTAATACGAAACAAAAAATAAAATAACCTACATTGATCATTCTTACAACATTAGTTCAACGGTTGAAATGGCTGGTGTAGGTAGGCTGTTTCGGCAGGGTGCTAATTATCTGAAGAGCAAAGAATTTCGTCAATATCTATGCAGGTTAAGCATTTTATTGATTTAATTAAAGTAAATTCCATAAGTGGCATTACATGTAAGTGTACTAATAAAGTGTAACTCGCATATAAAGTGATTTCGCTTTTAATGTTTTATGTAAATTGTTGGCTTACTTCCCATTGTAGTATTACACTCTACAGCCGTACTACTACAACTACTAGCGATTTCAACATATCGTTGGTAATGGTGGTAGGATCGCTAAGATTGAGAATTATTTAAACTATACTTAGAAAGATATCCATTAATGTACCTTTAAAAGTTGGGACAAAATATTATTAAATTTTCCATTTAGAGAACAAATGTCGTCATAGTATATGTTGAATATTAGTTATTTGAACTTTTAGGTTTTTTTTGTCGTTTGGAAAACAACTGCAGTTTTTAAAATTTCTAGTCCAATATACTGTTTTATAGTATTTAAAAAGGGATTAGAATAATAACATAATTACCATATGAATAAGTTATCAAATATATAGTATTGTGTTTATAATATGATGTTTTATAAACGGGAGGCCAGTAGATTAAACGTGTATTATGTATTTAATACTGAATGCTTACAATTAAAGCAAGTTAAGTATTTTTAGCTACTTTTCAGTGTGTGTGCTTTAATTTTAAGAAGCATCCAAAATCCTTACAGTATTTGAACAAATGGGTGTTGAATCATCAGAATTTTGGAAAGAACAATTATAAAAGTTTGGACAGAGATACTAATTTTTGGCTTATTTATGTGTAGTATATGTTCTTGCTTTATTATATTTATTATTATTTGAGAGAATTACTCAGCATTTTTATAAACAACAAATTTGTATGTGCTAAGAAAATTAGTTTTATTTAGATACTTAATTCATGTATTAACTTTTTATTGCTCTTCAATTCAGTAATTGTTGATTTCAGTGTAGGTAAAGAATTTCATAGTAAAAGAAAGTTCTTAACTTTATAGAATAGGCAAAAGTTAATTTTCCTGATAATAAAATTTATGATTATTTAGTGAAGCAAATTGGATTATGTGATATTGTTGTTTTTCTGATTCATTATTTATTGGTTTTCTCTTCTATATTGGAACCATTATATTTCCTAAACCTGTTTCATTACTGCTGTTTCCCGATTCTTTTCCAAACAGTACGGTAAGTTACAACTTAATAATTTTTTAAACTTGGTTGATGATTCAAGGACTTGCTGTTTGTTCTAAGTATGCTAGTTAGGATAAAATGAAAAGAGTGGCCCTAACCCCATACTGATAACCTTTGTTTTTTCTCATGGTGATTTTTTCTTTTTTGAAATTTTTTACTCGAGTTATATGCACATTTATATTAAAAAAATTACTTATGTTATTAATGTATATGTGAAGCCACTACAGATTTTTCTAGTTTTGTTTGAGTTGTATAGTTAATTTGTTGGTTTGTGTGTGTAGGTATTCTTAAGTATGTAGGAATATAATTAGTTTACACTACAGTAATAATAATGGGTGAAATAGTAAACATAAGCTTATTCCTAACTGTGATGGGTCTAGTGATCACCTTGTTGAACTACTATCTATTTTGTGGGAGTGGCCATATATGTGTCATTTGGTTACTTTATGCATATATATCCTCTATAATATTCAAATTTCTTATAAACTACAACTTGAAAAAAACAACTAACACCCTCTGCAGACTGTTTGACAGGAGTCATTTGTGGGACTCAATGTTGAGACCTTTGCTCTTTTTTTATTTACATCAATGACATAGAGAAATTAACAATTAATTGCTTAAATTTGCTGATGATAGTAAGATCTTGGGTTTTGCTGAACATGAGAAAGATGCTGCTGCTTTGAAAAATTACTTAGATCACTGATGAATTAGAAGAATAACTGGAAGATGGCTTTTAATTATAATAAATGTATAGTAATGCGTGTGGGATCATAATTTGAACTATAATTTTGATGGGAATTAACAGTGTTATGGAAGAAAAATCAGTGTTTCCCAAACTTTTGTCATTCACACTTGGTTTCTTGCAACTTCCTCCTACTTTTAAAATGCAGTATATGTTTTATAGTAATTACTTATGTCCTCCTGGGGGGCACGACCAACACTTTGGGAAATTCTGTCTTAAGTCATGCATGCAGTGTGTTGTTATTATTAGTAGGGAATATAGTATTGTGGGTTGTATTTACAGAAGTACTGAGTATAAGTCTGAAGAGGTTATAAGTTCATTGTATATGTTATTGGTAGGGCTTAGTCTTGAGTTTTTTACCTTAAGAATTGTTGGAAAGGGTAAGGAATTGATGGTATTAATGCATCATCTTTTTTCTTCATATTATAATGATGAAAAATGTAGGACATGAGGATGGATACAAATATGAATTAGACAGTCTTAAATTTCTAACAATGTAGTTGACCTTTAGAATGGGTTGCATTCAGTTATGTTGGACACAATAAATTTGAGGGAGTTTTAGGAAGCCTAGATAAATATTCAAGTGATCTCTCTGTTGTCCCTTAAATGCTATGTTATTTTAGTAGCCCTCTCCTGGACCCTTTCTAATAAGTTTGTATCATTTGTTAAATTAAAGATATTGAAACTATATACAGTATTCCAACTGAAGACTTAATTGGTGAGTTTTTAAGATGGATAATTTCTCTTTTATGTCCCTAGTAAGCTTTTAGGTGTGATTTTTCTTCTCACTTTTCTTTCTTTTAGGAACATGCCTATCTTAAATTAAGGGTAATTTATTTTTTAAAATTTCAAAAATCTGACCCGCATCACTTTTTTACTCATTTTCCAAATTCACCAGTGATAAGTCTAGTCTCATATCTTCAGAATTGTCTGTCTGAAAATTAAGAACAAAAATTTTATATCTTTTTTTAACTCAATGTGTAGCAAAATATTAAATCTAAATAAATGTGAGCAATCATCTACAAATGTTCCTCTACTTCAACTCGTACAACCATAAATCTAAAATTACATCATCTCTGATTGGTTTTCTGACCATTCAGTATAGAAAACCATCTTGCATCACAAGAAGAAATCTTTACATCAATGCTTAACTTCCATATAATCACAATCGATGCATCTAAAATTAAAGTCCTTTGTAATTATTGTGTCATTATTCTTATTAGTGACAAACCTAATTTCATTTTATAATTTCTCATTGATATCATTTGTCTGATGTAGTATATAATGATTTCCAATTAAGAAATTTTTATCTTTTAAACTTAAGATAATCTTCTGACATCCAGGTACCATTTGGTCCGTCACGGCTGTACTTCCAAACCTGCTCTTGAAAAAAAGTAAAAATGTAAACAACCTCAATTTTTCAGGAAATAGTTGATAATTTTTTTAAACTCATGTAAAGTGCTGGTCTCCACTACTATGAAAGGCAACTCATTCCATAAGTCAGTACCGCTTTTTAGAAAATTAAAATTATCTATAGCTTAAATTACAATCTAATCTGCTTAATGATACAATGCTTAACTCTACCAACACTTGTAAGCTTTGATTGGAGTCCAAACAATATCCATTCTAAATAAGTTCATATCTAAGCTAAGAAAAAAAAGAGCTCGTATCGAAGCTGATAAAGAATGAGGTCGTATCGAAGCTGATAAAGAATGAGGTCGTATCGAAGCTGATAAAGAATGAGGTCGTATCGAAGCTGATAAAGAATGAGGTCGTATCGAAGCTGATAAAGAATGAGGTCGTATCGAAGCTGATAAAGAATGAGGTCGTATCGAAGTTGATAAAGAATGAGCTCGTATCGAAGCTGATAAAGAATGAGCTCGTATCGAAGCTGATAAAGAATGAGCTCGTATCGAAGCTGATAAAGAACGAGCTCGTATCGAGGCCGAGAAGGAACGAGTTCGTATCGAGCCTGAGAAAGAACGAGAATCCATTTGATTTACTATACTGTTAGTAACTGCTTTACATTTTCTACTTGTGCTTATAATTCAAAGTGTAAAGCCAGATTTGTTCTCGAATATTTATTTACTAATACTTCTCTCACTGAAATAATTGATCTGGCTACTAATCTGGGGTTACCAAAATCATATTGTCAGAAGTATCCCTAATAACAATCTTTAAAAATGAAATTTATTAACAGACAGTTTTGTTATAGGTTCTGATCTAGGCTCTAACCTGGCTAATTTATTCTTCTGCTTCCATGAAAAGCATTAGTTGTCTTAGTTACTCATCTGGATTTAAACCTTTTTATTATGCCATAGATATATTTATTTAAAAATCAAAATCAAGTTAATTATTTTCCTTGAAAATCTTAATAACAACTTGCATCATACAATTTATTACCATAGATATTACAAATTATTTTGTTTTGTTGTTTTGATAAGAAAACCTGTAGTGGATTGTTTGCTTATTTTTCAAGTTTTGTTCATGAATTCTGAAAGTGTAACATTTCCACAACCTGATGTCGTTTTGAAAATAAAATCTGATTTTGGAGTCTTTTTTTTTTCCTTCCTTCAAATATGAAATTTTTAAACTGCCATAGCACTAATTGTTTATACATATACCTGTTCTTTGTGTTCAAAAGGGCATCTTCATCCAGGAGTTTCTGGAAGATAAGTGTTCTTATTCAGTGTGTTAAAAAACTTACTCTGGAAGATACTGTTGTAGAATTATGTTGTTTTTAGTATTGATAAAGATATGTTGTGATTAGAAATTGCTGGGCATTAATATATATATGCAAGTATTGGTGTTTTTAACAAAAATACCTTTGAAATAGTCTGTGCAAATTCTGAAAATGAATATCTGTGAGAAAAAAAAATAATTTTTTTTGGAATAAAGACATTATACCCTGTTATTTGTAAGGGTAGCAAATAAGTGGTTTGTATTTTGTCTCATACAAGGGTCATAATGTTTTATTCACTGATGGAAATTGTATCCATTGATGTCATTAAGTATTCTAATCTGTGTACTATGCAAATCAGTTTCCACACAATTTAACAGTTTCACATTTATTTAGGAGGAAGGAGAAACCTTTGTTAACTATTATGTGTACTGTAATTGACCTTTTAGTAAAGAATAATAAATATAAATGTTTTAAGTTTGCACACAGGATAAAAGGGATATATAGTTGTCAAATTCGATGACGAGGAACCCACTTTGAGACTAATAATGGCTGGAGACGGCTTAAATGGGTAATGAAGAA